AACTTTAATCCTGACCAGTGTTAAGTTCTTGCTCTCAGGCTCCGTATCTGAACCCCTCCCTGCCCCCGTCCCCCAGAGGGCAGCTCAGCGTTAAATGCTGTGCACTTTCTTATAAAGATAGAAGCTGCCACAAAAACGATTAGCTGGAAGGCCGTTCCTTTCAGTGAAATTAGCCAAGTCCCAAAAAAACCCATCTCTAGACCGTTGGGTGTCCTCGAATCCCCAAATGCTGCCCCAGCTGGGAACCTGAATGAAGGTCAGAGGGGCACGTTCTGTACTGGCAGTAATGGCCAGAGAGACTGGGTAGCTCCGTGATGGGAATCGCAAGCAGTGGCACCTCCCTATTTTCTCAGTGCCTGGCTGAGATCAGTGCGGGGATGCACCCAGCTGGGCAAAGAAGGAGGCGACACTGGTAGGAAGAGAAAAGAGCTTTGGAAACTGGCAGCAATGATAGAAGCCCTTGTTGATGATGACAACAGCTCTCAGATTAAGTTCTCCACGGCTCCCTTCTGACCACCTCACTGCCCAACTAACCCTGGCAGCAAAACCCACCCACTTCCTTCTGCTGCTGCTGGTAGGCTGTGGCCCAGCCTGACAGACCACAGACCATGTGTGATCGTGGCTCAAGGCTTCAGGATTGCAACTCATTACAACTAGGGAAGGCACATGTCCTGAAACCTCCAATTGGGACAAAATACAGTGCAAAGAAAGGCCTGGGGGGAGAGGGAAGGGGTGCACTGAATACAGTTGCATGCACAGTCCTTCCTGGCACTAGCCCCCCAGCTTCCTGAGACCTGCCTCTCCTTCCACAACAGTGACCACCCATCGCAGTTCTGCAGCACCAGAGCAATGGAATTTTCCATCCCTAGGGTCACTGCATTTCTACAGCCCCCTTCTCCCAGAGAACTCAAAGCACTGTGCTCATGAGTGCAGAAGAAAAAAAACCCTTCTCTCTCTCACCCCTCCAGGGTTGGACGGGCACCGTGGAACTCTCAGCTAGAGCTGGGTCGTGGTTTTTGGACAGTTTTTTCTCTGAGAAATGCAGCTTTGGGTCGACCAGAACTCTCTGCAAGTCTGGTGAAATTTGGTATATAGCTTCTTTCTTTCTTTCTTTCTTTCTTTTTCTTGTCAAAAGTTTTCTTTTCAACGTTTGCTAAATGAAACCTTTTGACTTTTCTTTCTGAAACGTTTCACTGAAACAACGAGCTGTATTTATTTTTATTAAATCAGAAAAAATGGGGTAAACACACACACACACTCACAAATAAAAATCACAGCATGTTTCATTTGATCTAAATAGAAAAAAAAACATTTTTTTGTTTTGTTTTTCATTTTGGCAAGAAAAACAAAACAAAAAAATCCCTTCCGGGTTAACCCGAAACAAAGAATTTGGGGATTTTTTTGTTCAGCCACTGAGCTCTGCCCACTGCCTACAAAACCTTGACCTCAGTGTTTGCAGAAGAGCAAACAGCAGCGCCTCGGCCCTCTGCCTTTGTCTCAAGGACTCCCAGCTCCTCACTGACACTCTGAGTCCTCTCTCCTTGCCAATGAATCCCTGCTCTGGTCTCTAGGGTTAGGTCAGACCCTGCAGCGCTTACGCAGCCAAAGCTGCAGCTGCAGCCAGAGGGGAGGATGCTTGGAGAGGGCCTGCAAAAATGGCTCATATCTTCCCTAACTAGAGTGCTTTGCGCTCTATTTGCCACTGCTCCCAGTGTTGTCATTTAAGTGCCTCAACAGCACAGACTTTGCTGGGCCCAGGGCAACGGGGAGGAGAGGCTCTGGGCCTCAGGCAGAAGGGGTGGGGTGAGGGCAGCCAGTCCTCAGCACTGGCCAGACACTGCTGCACCTTCCCTAGCCAGCCCTCGGCACGCCTGGACTGCACAGCGTGGGGCCCTGGTGGGGTTTTAAAAGGCTCTGGTCTCTGGGTGCTGCGGCTGTCACAGTAATAGCAGCCCAGCGCCCCAGGCCTTTATAAATCACTGGTCCCTGGGGCAACTGCTCCCTTTGCCCCTTCGTCGGTGGCCTTCACTGGTGTGTGTGCCAAGAGGGCAACCAGGGCCTTTGTCACCGCTGCAGGCCTCAGTCTCCCAGCTGACACAAGGCAAAGACATGGCCCGACTTGCAGCCATGTTTAGAGGCCTTACTCATGAGTGCATGCAAAGTGCTTCAGGAGACGGGGCTGTAGAAATGACAATTGTTATTCATTACTAGCTATAATTGTTTACTAATCAGCATGTGCCTCGCAAGTGGAGCAGGGAAAAGAACTGACAAACCCCAGATTGCTGCCTCACATCCTCAAACAATTTGAGCCCACCAAGCTATTGAGACCTGTCTTAGACAAGATTACCAGCGTAGCTGATAAAGGTATTGGTGTGGTCGGAACATTCTTAAGAAGTCCATAAGGCATTGGACTTGGTTCAGCCCTACATTTGCATTAAAAAACTGGAAAGCTCTAAAATTAACATGGCTCACAGTAAATGGGTTAAAAACTGACTAATGGCTAGGTCTTAAAATGTAATTGGAAAGGGGGCACCTTTAAGCGGCTACAGTTCCAGCAAAATCCTGCAAGAACGGGTTATATGGCCCTATACCGTTTAACATTTTTATCAATGACCTAGTAGAAAACATAAAATCATCACTGATAAAGTTTGCAGGTGACAAAAAATTCGGGGAGTGGTAAATAATGAAGTGGACAGATCTAGATCACTTGGGATATGTCTAGACTACATGGCTCCGTTGATGAAGCCATGGAAAATAGTTTACTCGTCATAGTCAATGAAGCGGGGGTTTAAATAATCCCTGCTTCATTAAAATAGAAATGGCCACCGCGCTGTGGCAATGATCAGCTGATCCAGCACAGCGGGTTAATCTAGACGTGGCGGGGTCGACAAGGGAAGCCTTTGTTGACCGCTCCAGTATGCCTCGTGAAATTAGGTTTACCGGAGCGGTTGACAAAGGCTTCCCTTGTCGACCACGCCGCGTCTAGACTGACCCGCTGTGCCGGATCAGCTGATTGTCCGCACAGCGCGGTGGCCATTTTTATTTTAATGAAGCGGGGATTATTTAAATCCCTGCTTCATTGACTATGCCAAGTAAACTATTTTACATGGCTCCATCAACGGAGCCATGTAGTCTAGACAAATCCTTGGTGAATATCGCGGTGTCTAGACTGCATCCCTTTTTCGTAAAAGGGATGCAAATTAGACATATCGCAATTGCAAAGGAAGCGGGGATTTAACTCTCCCCCACTTCATTAGTATAAAAATGGCTGCCACTTTTTTTTCCCCAAGAGGTTTGCCAGAAAAAAGCGCCAGTCTAGACACAGCCTTTTCCGAAAGATCCCTTATCCCTCATAATGAAGTGGGGGAGATTTAAATCCCTGCTTCATTTGCAATTGCGATATGTCTAATTTGCATCCCTTTTATGAAAAAGGGAGGCAGTCTAGACACAGCGTATGTGTTTCACTATGGCTAACTGTGAATCTGGGATCACAGACTGCAGGCTGTGTTTATAGGCTGGAGGACTCTATCCTGGAAAGCAGTCACTCTGAAAAAGATTTGAAGGGTGGATAATCACCTGAAAATGAGCTCCCAACACAACCAAAAGAGCTAATGTGATTCTGAATACATAAACAAGGAAAATACGAAGAAAAGAAGCAAAGTAATTTTACTTCTATAGTTGGCACTGGTGCGGCCATTGCAGAAATATTGTGTCCAGTTCTGGTGCCCCAAATTCAGGAGGGATGTTGAGGAATAGGGAGGTTCCGAGAAAAGCCACAAGATTGATTAAAGGGTTAGAAAACCTGCCAGATGATGATAGACTCAAAGAGCTCCCTCCATTTAGCTTAGCAAAGAGATGGTTAAGGGATGATTTGATGAGTTCTAAAGTATGTATCTACACAGGGAACAAATAATTGTTAATGGGCTCATCAATCTAGCAGGGAAAAGTCAAGCATGATCCAGTGACTGGGAGCTGAAGGCAAACAAATTCAGACTGGAAATATAATGTACATTTTCACTGGCGAGAGTAATTAACCATTGGAACCAGGGTCACGGTGGATTCTCCAACACAGGCAATTTCTCAATACAGATTGGAAGGTTTTCTCCAAGCACTGCCCGAGGGATTATTTGCAGGAGGTCAGACTAGATGATCTCAACGATCACTTCTGGCCTTAGAACCTATGAATCCTCCCCACCCCAGACGTGTGCATGCAGTGCAGCAATTGATCCCCATTCTCCTCCCTCACACAACTCGGGATGTGCCCTGCCCCTCTGAAATGTCTCACCCAGCTGGAAAACATTATGCAATGCTGAATGAATTGTCCCAGCTCAGAGCTCTCTGGTGCCTCCCAGAAGACCTCATTCTCTCAGGCCCAGATTTCTTTGATCACTCTTGGCTGTGTATTTATAACCCACATTATATTCCCATCAAGGGAGTGGGAATGAAGAGCAGAGGGCTGAATGGGGTGACATAGGCACCCGCATGCTTGGCTGAAGTCAGATCCACTCCCTAGGGGAGAGAAATTGGCTCTAGCTTGTAGGTCTTCTTTTCCAGGGTAGACATACCGTGCGAAGACCTGGCTCAGGGCAAGCAGACAGCTGCAGCCACAGTTCACTGCCCACCAAAGAGCGAAAACACTGGTGCTCTGCATGAACGCAAGGCGCCACCACCACGCTTGTCAAGGGAGGAAGCCATGGCCTATTTGGAGAGCCTTCCTGCCACTGCACCCACTGCGCTGCTTGCAGCCAGCCGCAGAGCAGTCCCCTCTCAGAAGGGACAGCATGAAACAGCATCTGCCATGGCCCTTTCCCCAGCCCTCTGTCCACCTCCCACAGGTCACAAAGCAGTGGAGATAGCTCTGGGCCTCGGGTGCAGGAGGATCTGCTGAGAACCCCAAGTGGGGCCCCAGGCAGTTAGGAAAACTTACTTTCAAAATGATAGGAGACTGCATCAGAAAAGGCAATTTGTTCCATGACTGCCCCTCAGCCTTGGGTTGCTGTCTGGGATTGTGCTGCCCGGGATAGCGCTGTCTGGGATTGTGCTGTCTGGGATTGTGCTGCCCGGGATAGCGCTGTCTGGGATTGTGCTGTCTGGGATTGTGCTGCCCGGGATAGCGCTGTCTGGGATTGTGCTGTCTGGGATTGTGCTGCCCGGGATAGCGCTGTCTGGGATTGTGCTGTCTGGGATTGTGCTGCCCGGGATAGCGCTGTCTGGGATTGTGCTGTCTGGGTTAGCGCTGTCTGGGATTGTGCTGCCCGGGATAGAGCTGTCTGGGATTGTACTGCCCGGGATTGTGCTGTCTGGGATTGTGCTGCCCGGGATAGCGCTGTCTGGGATTGTGCTGTCCGGGATACAACTGCCAAACGCTCGGTGCAATCAGAAAATGCACAGGCGGAAACTTTCTCGTGAATTCAATCACACGCAAATTTACAAAATCCAAGGGCCGGGAGACAACAGAGCCAGACGGTGAAGAGCACTGCACAGGTGCAAACCTACGACTGGCCGTCTAGCCCTGCCAACAGGAAAACCACAGCCCAGCAACACAGCTGGCCTAAAGTGGGCCAGGCATTCTTTGCCTCCCTCGGCAATCGAAGCCCAGGGGAGCTTCCTGGGTGGGTCTGTTCATGGATCACCTGAGGCAGGGGCCTCACAGATTCCTCCATTGGAGCACAAGTGTAAAGAGCCTTTTTGTGCTTGTCAAGCTCAATGACAGGGCAGAACTGAGCCAAAACAGACTTGACATTAGAGCCCCAGGTTGGACTTTTCCCTTCTTTTCCCCTGTGGCTGCCCAATTAGCCCCTTACCATGGGAAAAGCATGTGGATAATTTAAAGTGCATATTTAAGAACAAATAGTTTGGGGAGATTTCTCTTCTATCAGTGTAATCCTGATGGGTTACCCCTGAATGGGAGCACTGTCATTGGCCAGCCTTTTTTTTCTTGCTTGCTTTCACACTCTCGATGTATCCAAACAGACCAATCAGTCAGGCATCTGTTTCTTTGATCCATAGAAAGAATTTTATTGGCAGGATCTCACTGCCCTTTCTTGTGTCCGTGCTACCACCCTGAATTGGCACCCAAACAGGCTTGGATCTGGAGGAGGAAGCCTCCGAGATCTCTTGGGCTGAACTTATCTCCCCCTTTGCTGCATGAGGCTTTGCCATTGTGTTGGAGGACCTGGTTATAAAACAGGGGGGAAAGAAATAATTATGTGACAGCCAATTCCCAGCCAGGGCACCCATCCATCCGAGGCTTTTCCAATTGGAAAACTATGTAAGGGCATTGTAAAAATACAGTGAATCCAGGGAGTCAATTTAAAGTAAGTCAAAGAAAACCACCATGAACAGCTCTAGAATTTTTTCCCCCTGGAGATTTTAAATGATAGCCTCATTTTCTCCCCATTCGTCAGGAAAAGGAACAAGGCATCAGTTAATGTGCCCACGACTGTGGGATTTTCCCCCCAAAACTGTGAGCTCCATACACTTCAAACATTAGCTTTTCTTGCCCTGGGGCTCCCTTCCTGCTGCCCTTCCTTTCCTCCTCGCCCCCAATGATGTCTCCTGCTTCTAGCCACACTCAGCTCTTCCACCGGCCTTTGATATTTAATAGGCAGGTTCCAGTGGAGACCAGTATGCTGCACGCTCAGCAGGCATTAGCTGCTTTGCATTATGCAATGACAGCCCCATCACAAACACCGTGTTCGTTAATTACTGGCAAGATGGATACAGCCTTTGTACCTACTGAGCATTTCCCTGAGTGCCTTGTGTCTTTCTTTTGCCCTCTGCCTTGCATGTTCCCCTGCCCGTTATTTCCCTGCCTATCCTGGGGCTGTCAATTTGTATCATTGGCCTGTGGCAGGAAAGCCCAGTACAAACAATCACCCATCTGGGAGACTGATGCATCACAAAAGGACCCGAGTTTCTAGCAAGCCTTTCGGACCCGTCTGGACGAAACATGAATCAGGACTCTTGAGGACACCAATTCCTCTGTACTTACTGGACTGGGGTGGTGTTTGCAAAAGTTATTTCACTGAAGGGGCTTTCACCCATTGGTTTATCAGAGAAACAACACCCCCACCACACACAGACTGACTCATGCATAGACAGGAACAGAAATGAACCCTGACTTGCACAACGGAACACATGCTCAGACACCCCTTGGCAAAGCAAGCCCGACACCCCATTCACACTGATCTACAGCCAGACACTGGCTCAGCATTTGTGAACGTGCCAGGTGCTTTCATTCTCAGCATGGGAAAGCACGGCATCCCCGAGACAAGCCACCGCACACAAGGCTCAAGAAAGAGGCTTCATGCAATGACAGTACAGTCATGGAGCATCTTTGTCTGGGCCTTTCACTCAAGCCATACACAACTTAGCCTGAGTTAACTTTCTGTGTACCCAATGTGACTGATGGATGTTCTCTGCCCTGCTCACTAGGAGCAAGAACAGATCTGTTCGTATTGACTTCACAGGAACTTTTCTGCCTGTGTATTTAAACTGCTGTCTCCAGCAGCCGCATTTTCTCCTGGACAAACTTCGCTCTGATGTTACATTAGCAGAGTCCCTTTCGGCACTGACTTCACTGGGGTCATCCAGTAAATCAGTGCTAATTAGGCCTAATATTCAGAGAACTAACATAGGACACTTCAGGGAACCCTATCAACTTCAATGCCACATCCTGCCATCTGACTGTATTTCACCCGCTTTGGTTGGTGGGCACCCACACCTCACAATGACAGGCGCAAGAGGCAAACAACTCTGGTTACAGCTTGTGCACCATGTTCATTCCGTGGCAGTCTGTGCAGGGGCAGGATGTTTCCATGCTCCCCTGGCTGTCTGAGGGCATCGCAGTGACATGGCAGAGACAAACATTGTGGAACAACAGGGAAACACCATTGTAAATAAAAATTGGTCTCTGGAAGGGCAGGTGCCAGGGGTGCGTGCATGGGCATGTGCCCTTGTGAATGAAGGTGGCTCCAAGTGGGAACTGAGGGGTAAACGGAAAGCCTGGGACTACATTTAACTTCTCATTGGGTGTGTCTAGAGTACAGGGTTTTTTTGAAAAAACTTCCCCTGCATCTAGACTGCTGCCCCATTCTTTTGAAAGTAAATCGAAAGAACGCAGCAGTTTTTTTGACCGTGGAAAACCTCATTTTATGAGGAAGAACACCTTTTTTCAAAAGTGCTCTTTAAAAAAAAGGAACTATGTAATGCAAACTGTGCTTTTTCGAAAGAGAGCATCCAGACTGCCTGGGTGCTCTTTTGAAAAAGCAGCTTGCTTTTTTGAAAGTACTGTTGTAGTCTAGACACTCTTTTTCGAAAGAGGCTTGTCGTCTAGACGTAGCCATTGGGACTATCTGAGCTTATAACAATGGCGCTTACAGTGTGTGGCCCAAGGAGAGTTTTCTTTCCATGAAGCCTGACAAAAGGACTGACAGCGCGGGAAAGTCAGGCCCTGCTGCGGTGGAAGAAATTGGCATGGGACTAAGAGCAAATATAACACCGTGGGGAGTGCAAGACCCCAGGGCAGAGGAGGGGGATGATAACACTTTAACTGCACTGACAGAGGAAGGCCCTACAGCCATGGAGGCAGCAGCAGCAGACACTGGCAGGTACAGCCCAGACTGGCAGTGCTTGAGGGCAGGGATGGCGCACAGGGGATTTCCAGGGCAAAGGGAGCTGTGAGATTTCGGGCATCAAGACCAAGAATACCCAGCTCGATAATGTTCAGAACTGAGCTGTGACTCCTGGGGCCATGTTTTCACTGGTGCCCAGCATGAGACACTCGCCCAAGGTTTGCAAAAGGAGCAGTTTGAAGGGAGTGGCAATGGTCACTGCAGGTGCTGCTTCCGAGTGGCGTGGCCAGCTGACTTGCAGCGTGGCTGGCCCCTGCAGTGAGGAACCGTGGTGCTCGGCACTGCTGAATGCTCGGAGGCATCTCCTGTTGGGCCCCAAACTGATTTCAGTGGCAGCTCAGCAGCTAATCTGCCTAGGTGCTTTGTAGAGCCCACTTGGTGCCAGTCTGCTTCCTACAGCACCTAGACCGTGGAAATCCGGCCCTATAAGCCAATGCCATTAAGTGATGAATGGTCCCAGTACCAGTGGCTGAGACTCCAGCAGGGCTGAGATAACCAGTCCAAGGGATGCGTTACGGGCTCCGCTCACTACTGCAGCCGCCTCCCATCACTGGACCTTCCGGGGGTGCCCCGGGCTCTGTTTCAGTTCTCTTGCTCCGGCTCCTCCCTCTGGGGAGCCCAGTCCTGATCTGATGAAACTGGCAATGGGGCTGGGCTGGGGTTTGACTCCCCAATGTGCCAAGAGAGAAAGGGGCTTTGGAGATCAGGCGTCCCATCTCCTGGCACAGCGGAGGGTGAGCAAGGCACGGGCCACTAATAGAGGTCATACTCCCAGCTTGGGTCACTCTGTGTTCAAACCCTGTGGTGTGTGCCCTGGGGAAGGGGAAGTGCTTGGCTGTGGGGTGTGGGGCTCATACAGAAGGGAGCAGGCACAGATTCCTTCCTGTAGCTTTATATGTAAACTGAAATCCGCGAAGGGCCTGATCCTGCCCCCGCTCACCTTTATGGTCTGACTCTGAGATAACTACACCACTGACCTCAGTGGATTTCCTCCTGCTATCAACTGGCCCCATGGGAGTGAGTAAGGGGGGCATGCAGGATCAGGCCCTCATAGAAGAACTAACACCTACAAATAAAAATCAAAGGAGAAGGGTCTTTTGCACGCCAGGGCAGTTTGGCTGCAACTCTCAGGGAGAGCAGAAATAACACAGACACATTCCTCGTGAGCTCAGCCTGAGCCCAGCCGGGCGTGTGCCATAGGACTGGGACTGACACAAGCCAGAGCAGCCCATGGCTGCTTAACACTGGGTCCCCCTCTCCTACCTGTCAAGAGGCAAGAAAAGCCAGAGATCTTGATCCCAGTGTGAGGGCCGGAGTCTGGGACCCAGGCCCTGGGCCGATCCCAGGGGATGGAGCAGGAAGGTGGCTTTATGGCACACAAAGCAAGCAGGGTGTGGATCTGCAGTGAGCTGGGCGCATGTCCCTTTGGGGGCCTAGGAAAAGGGACCAGCCATTTCTATGGTAAATGAAAATGTTCCTGTCGATTAATATACCCCAGCATCTGGGAAGGGCTTTACCTAATTAGTGGAGGCTGGGCTGAGGCCTACGATAGGGGCAGGTTACCCTCCATATGCTCCTGCAGGACCCTTACTCCTTCCTCAGCAGCCTCTGGAGCTGGGTCTTGCCAGAGTCAGGACACTGGGCTGGGGGGACTTTGTCTGGCAGTTCCCACAGCCGTGTGCTAGGTGAGGACGGCTGCTGCCCTTCCGCAGCCACTGCAGGGGGAGCGTTGCCTGAGGAAGGAGGCCCAGCATTGGCTTCCCTTGCTAGTCCCATGTCTCCGTTGGCTCATATGGCAGGGAGGGGAAGGGTTAGGAGTAAGGTGGGATGGGGCTGACAGATGCTGGGCTCTCACCCTTCCTGACCCTGACGTCCCCATTTCATGGGCTCTTCCTGCCTGCCAGGTGGCGGCTAGAAAGAAGCAAATCACTGACCGGACTCTGAGAGGAGGGAAGGCAGAGGGGAGCGGGGAGCCCCGTGTTGCCTGAGGCTGGGATGCTTGTAGCCAGCCGCAGAGCAAGGCTTGCCGCAGTGTGGGCTGCAACGCTGCGTCTCCTGTATCCTCCCTTCAGTGCCCTATTCCTGCACCCCCATCAGGCAGAGCTGCCATCGGAGGAGAGGCCATTCTTGCTCGCCACCCTTGCAGACGCTGCTCCCGCAGAGGAAGGGGGCAGCTCTGGAGGTGTTGGCCCCTGTGCAATTGTCCTGACTTCACTCCTGATCCGGAGGCACTCCTGTTTTATACTGTGCAACGCGAGCTGCACACGGGGTGATCGGTGCACGGGCAGGGCTGGACCCACCGCTCTCAGACACAGGAGTGACTCTGCTGATTTCATAAAGCGGCTCCTGATTTAAACCGCACGCTCTGGATTGATCTGATTGTTCGATCCTTGCTTTAACCCTTTCATTAACTGGCCCTTAGAAACAACCCTCCTTTGTTGCTGCCAAATTAAATCAGTTGCTCGAGGGCTCTGCTGCTCTGATCCCGCCGAGGCCCCCCCATCAACGTGAGTGGCGGCTCGGCCAGGAAAGCTCAGGGGTCAGCTACCCCGCCCGAACACCGGGCTTGTCGCACGTCTGGGATTTGTTCAAAAACACCGCCCAAGGCAGCGGGGGGAGGGGAGAAATGCCATTTGTTTTCCATGGAGAAGCTGCAAATGCAGGAAGCAGGAGGGAGGGATGCAGAGACTGCCCCAGGGAGCTGGGCGTTTGCTCTACGTACCTGTTGGCTGGATCCTGCGGGTTCAGTGAGAAGCAGACATGGACCAAGCCCCTTCCATCCTCCAGACGGAGAAGGCGTAGCTCAGCCTCTCGTGGGCCAGGTAGTTGCAGCTGGTGATCTTGTGGTCCAGCTCATCGCTCTGCAGCACCTGGTACAAGAAGTCTATGTAGCGTGCGGCCAGCTTGAGGGTCTGGATCTTGCTGAGCTTGTCGGAGGGCAGCGTGGGGATGATCTTGCGCAGCTCGGCAAAGGCATCGTTGAGCGACTGGGTGCGCTGCCTCTCCCGTACGTTGGCGATCACCCGCTGAGTGTGCACGTCCTCGAAGGACTGGGGGACGGGGCTGCGCTTGCTGCGCTTGCCCTGCGGCGAATGTGAGCTGCACTCCTCCATGGGCTTGCCCAGCTGGGCGCGCTTGCGGAGACATTTCTTATGAAGCCGTTCACCCTCCTCCTCACTTGTGACCAGGCTGCCTTCAGGGGAGTCCGGGCACATGCTCTCCTCTTTCATCTTCTCAGCACTGGTCCCCTCCAGCCCAGGAGCCTCTCCCACCTGGCAGGCACCGGGGCCTTGGACCTCACAGGATGGAGGGCCTGCAAAGGCCACAGTGCATCTGGAGAGGCAGCCTGGGAAGCAGACAAAGCCAGCTTAGGGAATGCAGCCCTGACGTGTCCACTGGCCAGACTTCCCAAACTTCCTCAAGGCTCGGAGCCTCCCCAACCTTCAAGGAGCTGGGTGTTTTTTTGGTTTTTTTTGTTGGGGGGGGCTAAGGAGAGGAGGGACATTTGAATAACTTTGTTGATGTCCTTTGCTGATAGGGCAGGAAGGGCTGGGGGTGGGGCCAAGCACAGACCAATACAACAGTACAAGGTAATGAAAACATCAGTGGAGCTTATGGGTTCCAGATTTCCTTTCTCCCTTCCCCCACAACACACCCCAGGCCCTTAGGCACAGATGCTCCTGCCTGCTGCCCGGATGTCAGAGGAAGTTCCTTCTGCTAACCTGAGCAACAGGAACCGCAGTGAAGTCTTTTTCAACCACCCCCCTCAGCGTGTTAAAGCCAGTCAGTACCCCTGATTTCTAAGTCTGATCGCTGATTTTTAACCCAAGCCTTTTATCAGGGTCAGATTCAGCTGGAGATGTGGGAAAACATTTGCTGTGAGATCACATATTGTGGACAGAGCCAGACGGGACATTCACTGGATCCAACACAAGATGCGGTAGCTCAGACCATTCTCTTCTTAGGCAGCGGGATGATTCTGAACAGCCGGCATGCAGCTGGGCTTGCATCGCATCTCTATCTATCTGTCTGTCTGTCTGTCTGTCTGGGCCTTGTCACCATAGTATGCCAGCAGACACAGATAAGCCTCCTCCTGAAATAATTGTTAACAAAATAGTTGACACAATCCAACAAACTACAAGAATCCCAGAACCCACAAAAATCATATGACACTCACCAGGGGTGTGTCTGACCCTACCACTGGCTCACCAGCTTATGGATGCTTCTTGTGCCCCATCCTTCATCTGTATAATGTGTGCAAAATCATAGAAACATAGATCTGGAAGGGACATCAAGAGGTTACCAAATCCATTCCTTGGCACTCATGGCAGGACCAAGCACCATCTATACCATCCCTGACAGGTGTCTGTCTAACCTGTTGTGGAAGCAGTAAATACAGAGACAGTTCCATCCTGCGGCCCCACCTTGGTCCTGCAAAGATGTACACGCATGCCTAACTTGCTGCACTGTCCTCGGTGGTTCACCAGCCTGCTGGCTGCAGTTGGCTAAGGAGACCAGACAGGCATGGGTGGGAGAACAGAAGGATTAAAGTCCTCAGGTTGGGCATAGGCCAACAGGATTCCGTGATTTGTCCCACGTCATTCAGGAGAACAGAGCAGGGACTGACACCAGCTCTCCTGAGACACATCACATGGAGTCAGCCACAAGCTAATTCTCCTTGCAGCCCTTTGAAGCAATGATGTCTAGTGCTTCCATGTAGTCTCTACTGAACATATCCCCCCATGTCCACTAACGTTACAGTACGGTCACTCTAGCCAACCTACCTATGCACTGCTACAAGGCACTCGCACTATCTCTATCAAACCGAGACATTCACTAGTGTTAGTGAACACATTCTCTGTATCCAATAGCTTCAGAGGGGTAGCTGAGTTAGTCTGTAACAGGAAAAACTTAAAAAACAACAAATAGACTAGTAGCACCTTAAAGATTAACAAAAAATGTAGATGGTATCATGAGCTTCCGTGGCCATAGCCCACTTCTTCAGATGACAGGAGTGTTAGTAGTCCAGATCCAAGAGTAATTGAAATAATTGAATAATTTATTCTTGGATTTGGACTTCTAACACTCCTGTCATCTGAAGAAGTGAACTGTGCCCACAAAAGCTCATGGTAATCTACATGTTTTGTTCATCTTTAAGGTGCAACTAGACTATTTGTTGTTTTTTAAGTTTTTTCTGTATCCAATGTACACACACAACCACAAATCCAACTTTTGTCCAGATTGATGGCTGTATATTTGAGTTTTCATATTATTCTATCTATTTCACTATGACAAGGCAACATTCACATTGCAAAGAACAGCTGCTGAAGGGGTCTTGCTTCCCAATTCCTGTTCACTTGCGTCTGGATCACTGTTGTCAGTGGGAACGACTGCCCCTGAATTCAATGGGCAACTTCTCTTATGCCCAAACAGCCAGCACGGCTGCTTGCATCCTGAAAGGGCGCAGAAAATGAGTGGGAAGGACCAAGTTTAAAAAATGGCAAATTCTTAAGAAAAATCAGGAAGGACTCAGGAATTAATAACCACCTAAGCTCTTCCTAAGCCCAGTTCACTTCCTAATCACCTTCAACCTTCTATGGATTAAAGCTCATGACTTTTGATCATGCCTGTGATTTATCTAAGCTTATTTTGCCTGTAGTGGGACTGTCCTATAGCTCTAAGGCGCATAAATGTTTGTAGGACTGAGGCCAAAATCAGACAGCTAAAATGAGACAAGACAGGGAGCACAAGGTTCCGGGGAAACAAGAGAAAACTAAAGGGCAGGACATGGATAAGCCAGCATAGGAGGAACTAGATAGTTTGGTGTCGTTCTGTTTAGGTCAATAGCAGGGAAGTGGCTCCTGTGTAGGTGATAGTTTTGATTAGCATTTTTCTGGGTTTTCTTTTTTATAAATAATTTTCATTTGATTTCATTTATTTTTAAATGCTCATGTGTGAAGAAAGCAGAGTATAAGATCCCAGCTGAGCTGGGAGCAGAAAGGTGACTAAAGTGAACTAGGATCTGCAGGAAGTCACAGCTCCAGTTTATTTGTCCACCTAAGGAAACATGAGTTGTTGCATACAATTTTCATGAAAATTTGGCCATTTTGTGACAACAGGATTTTTTGTGAAAACATTTTGGCTATGTCTACACTCCTGAAAAGTAATAGGTGTAACGGCATTGCGCAAAGAGGGTTTTTCTTGCACAAGAAGGGGCAGTATAGATGCTCCTTCTTGGGCAAGAGCCTCTTTTGAAAAAAGTGGTGGCTCATTGGGTATGCAAATGAGGCTCGGCGATATTCCACGCTTAGCCTCATTTGCATATTACTCACGCAAGAAGCCGCGAGTGTAGACATAGCCATTATGTTAAGACTTCTAACATTCCTGTCATCTGAAGATTGTACCCACGAAAGCTCATGATACCATCTACATGTTTTGTTAGTCTTTAAGGTGCTATTAGACTATTTGGTGTTTTTTTTAGTTTTTCCTGTTAGAGACTAACTCGGCTACCCCAAGCTTTTGAACATTATATTCATTTCACTGTGAAGAAATGTTACAGAAAACATGGGGAAAAAATAAACATCAGACTGTTTCACTGGCTGCAGCACCACAGAATGGAATGGAAGAGGCATTTGAATTTACTGAAATTGCTGTGGCGTCTTTTTGTTTTTCCTATGCTTTGACCAGCTCTGCTGTTAAGCTAAGGATGGCTCAGGATCACTCTCCATAGCCCTGCAATGACTTCAGGCCTAATTCTGACCTAAATTACAAAGTATGAACCAGAAGTAACTTTTCAGGAGCCACAAGGTACATGGCATCATAATAGCCAGACAAGTGGGGTGCAAATTGAGCCCACTTGCATACATTTCTGGTCCTGACAGCTTTGGAAAGGGGAGAAATAGAAAGGAATGAAGCACAGACACAAGGGCAAACACATGTTGGGAGACTGAGGGAGCTGAATGTACAGTATCTAGGAAAGAGCAAACTCGGGAATCAGGGATGCTGGAAAGTTTTTTTATAGTGGAGGGGACTTGAGAGTTATTGAACCAAAGTGTAAACCCTGTACAGGATGGAAACCACTTCGAGCACGCTGACTTCCAGCACTTATGTCAGGATTGGGGCAGAAAAGGAGCCTATAGATAACTTCAGTGAGAGAATAGGAATGAAGCAAGTGAATTCTTCACTGTCTCTGGAGATGGGCGGGCTCAGGAGCACCAGCCAGAACCAAAAGACGGAAAAGTTTTACCAGGGCATTAAAGAAGAGATCCTAACAGTAAGTGGAACAGACTCAGGAGCCAGGTGCCTGAGGCACCATTTCTACAAATGCAAGAAAAGATCTTCATGGGGATGAGAGTCAGGGAGGGTGGGTCTGCATGCTGCCTGCAAGCACCACCCCCACTGCTCCCATTGGCTGCAGTTCCCAGCCAGTGAGAGCTGCAGAGTCATTGCTCAGGTGGAGGCAGCATTTGGACACCCCCTGTTCCACCCGCGTAGGGGCTGCAGGGAGGCTATGCCAGCAAGGGGTCAGGGTACGTAGGGTACCTGCCTTAGCCCAGCTACACTGCTAGACCTCTAGTGGCCAGTTGTCTGCTTTGGCTTCTAGAGATTTAGCTTCCACTGAAATCAGGAGGGTCAGAGCCTCCCAGTGAAACTAGGGGGGTTGGCAACCATAGGACTTGGTCTGGCCCCCTGCAAAGCAGCCAATGAACTTTAGGCTGAGGAAAGATCTGCACTAGAAACTGAAACTCCATGCTGAACAAGAGCTGTCACCAAGACAGACCTCTCCTGTGACCTGGGGGGTGAGGGGGGGGTGATCTCTTTCTGAAGGTCATGTCTTCACCACAGACTTCTTAAATACCTAGTCACCTAGGAAGCTCCCCCTTTGACAGCAAGGTGAATATGATGGGACCTCTCTCCTGTCCCTGGGGGCAAGGTTCCTCCTTATTTGTCCTGCTCAGAGTCTGAAGGGAGCTGGAGCCAGATCCATCCCAGCAGGGGCTGATGCCTCTACTTTCTGTGCAGCCTGAATGCTGGGGTAGCACTGCAAGGTAACCTGTACGGATCTCTGTCTTTTCTCAGGGTATGTCTACACTGCAAAGTTAATTCAGAATAAAAGCCATTATTCTGAACTGACTTCCATAGCATCTACACAAGCAAACCGCTATTTCAAATTAAATTCGAAATAGCGGGGCGCTTAATTCGAGTTTGGTAAACCTCATTCTATGAGGAGTAATGCCAAACTCGATTTGGCTAATTCAGAATAAGCGCTGTGTAGATGCTTAGTCCGAATTAGCTGGCCTCCAGCCTTCCCAGTTTCCCCTGGTGGCCACTCTGGGCCAAACCAGGAAAACTCTTCTCCCTTCCCCCAGCCCTGGAGCCCTTAAAGGGGCAGACTCTGGCCACAGTGCCTGTGCCAGCTCCAAGCCCGCCAGCCCAGAGCCAGCAGTCACTGCCCCTGACACACAAAACATGAGCCAGCAACCACTGGCAGCCAGCCCTCCACTGCGCCCCAGAAGCAGTCTGCCAGCTCCCAGGAGCCTGCCAGGGCCCGGAGAAGGCAGGCACCTTCCCGGTTCAGGGCAGAGATCAGGGTGGTGATGCCCCCAATGTCTATGATCTCCGCACTAGACAGAGTAATGCAGCCGTCTATGGCAGGAAAGTTGCCAGCCTGGCCACCAAAGGTCACATGCGAACCCAGGAGCAGGTTTGCATGAAAATCAAGTTGG